TGCTACACACACAAAAAGCATCTATTATTCATAAAGCAGAGGCTCCCTTAAAATGGGAATTGGGGTATAAACTGAGTGCAGCACAACCGAAAACCAGCCGTATGCAAAACTCCTTCTCATGTTTTGCTGATGTTTGTATATTCCTAATGGAAACATTTGCACAGATTCAGAAGAGATGTAGCATATTTGTGCAGATACTGAACATTTAACTTTTTTCAAATGTTAAAATACTTTTAGTATTAGTACGCTCTCTGTATTCCCCTGAGAAGTGTAAACACTATGCCACTCTCAAAACATTGTAGTTTGTTTGAGATTCCCGACCTGCCCGACAACAGCAACACTGGCTCAACCAATTAGGTGAGTGTTTTTCGACAGCCAATCATTATCATTTTACAATTCCTTTCATGTTAGTTGCACAGAAACTACACATTTCCCTTTACACCAGACACATACTTTACAAATGTTAGTGCATCACTGCATTGCAAAATATGTATGTCGTGAAAAATCTGATTCTCTCTTGAAATTGGGTCTCTCCAGCAATTATCACTTAATAGTTATAGTAAGGAAATTAAAAGAACAGTTCATCCAAAAATGAAAATGTACTCACCCTCAGGTCATGCAAGATGTAGATGAGTTTGTTTCTTCATCAGATTTGGAGAAATGTAGCATTACATCACTTGCTCACCAGTGGATGCTCTGCAGTGAATGGGTGCCGTCAGAATGAGAGTCCAAACAGCTGATAAAAACATCACAATAATCCACACCACTCCAGTACATCAGTTAACATCGTGTGAAGCCAAAAGCTGCATGTTTGTAAGAAACAAATCCATCAAGGCATTTTAATTTTAACATTTTAAACTTTTTTGTACTGTTTTGGCTTGTAAATGGGGCTTGATCTGTGCTTATTTCTCTCCCGATTCAGAGTTTTTCAATGCAGAAAACATTATAGATGGCAACTTTTTTCCAGGAACGTGAGTCGAATGGTAGTTCAAAGTTAATAGGTCTTTAAAAACATTTTTAAAAGGTTAGCAAGAAATGTCATGTATACATTTGTTCATGAAAAGCTTTTTTTCTTCTTGAAACATTTTAGTTAGTGTGGTCTCTCTAACTAGCATCTGTCCATTTTCCCTGGACATGTCCACACCTGCATTTCTAAACTGGCTAAAATGTCTAGTTTTTGGCTTTGTTTCCTATTGTTGCTGCAGGTAATGACCGAAATGTATTTTGACCAATTACGTGCAGGCATTGTACATAATCAACCAATTATGTCGTGTGAATGTCATTTTATAAACGTTACACTCGGTCTGGTTTTTGCATTCGATTTGTGTTTTCAAACCAATTTTCTTCACAATGTGATGAAAACAACATTAGAACGTTTGTTCATAAAAAAAATAAAAAATTTTTTTTAAATAATTTGTCGGATTGACTTCATGCGAATGTTTGTTTTGGTCTTGAAGCACTGCTTTAGCTTCAAAACTTTTGTGAATCAATTGTTTTTAAACAGTGGTTCGAAGCTTATGAAAATGCCAAACTCAAGTAACACTCCAAAGAGAAAGGAAAAATTGAAATCGCATCATATGACCCCTTTGACTTTCACCGTTCATTCAAATGATTAGTGATGGGCACTTTTGAAGCACTGCTTTAGCTTCAAAACTTTTGTGAATCAATTGTTTTGAAACGGTGGTTCGAAGCGTATGAAAATGCCAAACTCACGTGATTTCAGTAAACGAGGCTTCGTTACGTCATAACTGTTTCGAAACATTTTGAAATTTCAATGGTTTGCCATTGGGGTCGATCTCTGTGAACCCGTGAATCAAGCGAGTTCATTGAGATCGCCCCCCAGCGACGAACCATTGAATCAGCGTCTATGGTTTTTACCTGATATCAGATCAGTTTCATCAATTTGTAGACATTTTTAATGAGACATTTGTGTAAATAAAATGATGAGAAGTAGTCTCTTACTGTCCTCTATTTACAAACTCTGCATAAAACAAACAAAACAAGCCTTGCAAATTATTATAAAAAAAAATTTAAACTACGTTTTATACAGACACTTCATATTTTATGGTATTTTATTATTTTTATTGCATTTACTGCCCGTGAATCAAGCGAGTTCATTGAGATCGCCCCCCAGCGACGAACCATTGAATCAGCGTCTATGGTTTTTACCTGATATCAGATCAGATTCATCAATTTGTAGACATTTGTAATGAGACATTTGTGTAAATAAAATGATGAGAAGTAGTCTCTTACTGCCCTCTATTTACAAACTCTGCATAAAACAAACAAAACAAGCCTTGCAAATTATTATAAAAATATTTTTTAAAACTACGTTTTATACAGACACTTCATATTTAATGGTATTTTATTATTTTATTGCATTTACTCTATTATACTTTTAATAAAACATTTGCAATGGGTTTTTTAAAAGCTGTTTTTATGCATGTTTTAGCCTGAGTTTTTGTTGCAATTACACACTATTGACCAGGGCTTCGTTACGTCATAACTGTTTCGAAACGTTTTGAAATTTCAATGGTTTGCCATTGGGGTCGATCTCTGTGAACCCGTGAATCAAGCGAGTTCATTGAGATCGCCCCCCAGCGACGAACCATTGAATCAGCGTAAACATAATCTCTAGAACTGCTCTGAGAGTCACTTCATGAGCATTTTACCATTTCTTTCCACTTCTTTAAACACTTCTTTAAACATATCATCATATCATATACAAACAGAAACTTAAAGGGGTCATATGATGCAATTTCAA